AAGTATTAAAAACAAAATGCTGTTGAATAGAGAATTACATAACATAAACACAGAATTATCTAACAGAAATATAGTTTCTAATTGAGAGGATAGCCCGGGGAAGGAAATCCTAATGCACATGTAGACAATAATGTGGTAAATTAAATGCTGGGAGCAAGCCACAAACAGAGCAGCTGGAAGGGAAAATTACAAAGGCATGATATTATAAGAAGAAAGACAGACCATTGGGACATAACTTCTGTAAAATAAAAACAATTTAGTTGGCTTATTACATGACAAATATCCTCTTGAAAAAAATCCCCTCTCTCCATTTAAAATGTATTGCTCTCTGCAATGCGGTTTCTATCTGTATCCAGTGTGAGTGCAAATATCTGTCTGCCCAGAGAAATAACGGCGCCCCATTTGATCACTAACATGGTACATTAACATAACCTATTGGTTAATGACTGTCTGAACTCAGTGTTCACAGCCCGTGACAGTTATACAGTTTTGGTAGAATACCCCTTGGTAAGGCCCCTTATTTTAAAAAAACAAGCAGTCTGGTTTGAAAATTGTGCAAATACATCGCTCAATTGAATGTCACTAATTCAAAACTCAGCTTTTAATTCTAGCCTTTTTGTTTTCATTTCCTCCCTTGTGACACAACGGTAAAGGGAAGGTCTGGTAACTGCGAAAACATGCTGTCTAACTGTGTAGCAACACAACAGTCATGTTATGGCCGCAGCCAACACCCATTCATGTGTTTTACTCCTTTTGATGATTGCATAATCGTTTCAGTAATTTTAAGAAGCAAAAATAATTAAATATGCCACAAATTCTCTGTTTGCAACTCTTCCAATGTTAAGATAAGCTACTTTTCTCTGTTTTATATAATTGATTTTTTATTAACAATTCTTTAAGCCCCACTATTTAACATGTAGGCCTATAATCAGTATACAGTATAAACAGTTATATGTAGCTATAACACACTATAATGTTGTTGTAAGCACATACAGTACGTGTTTATTAATGTATTTGTCCCCAACTCCTTCTGGCACCTATAAGTGGAGGTTAGTATACAGACATTAACTATTAACCAATCTCAATATAGTAAAAACACAATATAGTAAAACGTAAAAAACATAAATATAATATAAAATATGAAATGTTGACAAATGACAAATATCGTACATTAACATACACGTTTTACATGCTGTAATAAATGCAAAAAAACACCCAGAGACATAATGCACATATTCACAGTCTCTCCAATGTCCATTGTGAAAAAAATGCCCATAAATCTGCTTCGAAATCATAGAAGAAATATGCCCCTTATAACACATGCCTTGCCTGAGAATCATCACTCCATGGCAACATTATACTTCCCATTTACATCACCCAAAGCCCTTTGAAAGCCCCTGGACTAAATGATTAATCAACTAATTAAAAAAATAACCTGCAGACTAATCAGTACTGGAATTAAATTGCAGCCCAAAGCAAGAAAAACTTTGGACTTAGGCATTGCAAAGACCAAATCAATCATTTGTCTGTTGTCAGTCCCACACAAATAGGGCAAAATAGGGCACCAGATTTAAGTATGCGTCTAACTAGAGAAAATGTGAAGCCACTGTATGAGTGCTCTTCACTGCGTCAAGGCATGCACTACCTAATGACTGTACTCCTGCACTAGAAAAAATCACATTATCAGAATGTCTTCTGCTCAAAAAGACTGCAAAGCAAAAGTGACTGCGAGTTCCATCATGGTTTTGGTGTGAGGTTCACAACAGTGAGCCCTTATTAACAGCTTAAATCAAAAGCAAGAAACATATGTCCCTGCCTGCCTCTCCAATATGCAGCCATATAGGGAATAAACTACTGTTTCTAATACATGGTGAAAAATAGCTACTTTTTGTATTGGTGAAAAGGGTCACTTAAAATAAAGACCACTCCATATTAGCTGCAAACTATCTGCTGTTAGCAGCTACACTTGCCATGTACAGCACCCCTGCTGTGCTGGCATCTGCAAAATAATCCAGGAAAGATGTTTTTCAATGAGACTCGCACCAGAAAAGAACTTCTGCTTTGCTCAGCTTTGGCAGACAGCTGGAGCTACAATACTACCAGTCGGCTATAACAGAGGTAGCCCGAGTCTCTGCCTCTCTTTTTTGTGTTTTCTCAGTGGTGTACCAGGCTCAAGCAAATCAGATTTGACTCTGACCACATGTTGTAAAATGAGAAGTAACCCATAATGAAATCAATCTGCTTTAATGTCACATTTTCATTAATATAAACGTTCGCTTAAAAAGCTGAGGACAAGTGCAGAGGTGTGTGTGATGTCTCTGATACTGACACTACAGGAAATTATACAGAGCACAGCTGTCTGTGGCCCGTTACAGTAAACCACCATCAGCCCTTCCATGTGTTTCTAACTCAAATCATTTACTGGACCCCAGCCATATATTACCAATCGTCTTCAAACACTGGAGTTACTGTGAAAGCGTGCAACTTCCACTTCAGGTAAATGTTAAAAGAATCTCTAAGGGATTATTAGTAATGTAATTACTTTAGTATTATCAACAGATTTAGCAGCCCATTACAGTAACAGTTTGGACAAAATCTGCTAAACAATTAATACTACAACATGAATAGTCATGCTACAAAAATGTTGCAAAATAGTTTGGATGAAAAATGTATTTCAAGAAAACTGGTCCCGGAAGAACTGGCATCCTGAAAGGTGAACTCAAATCACCAGTAGTTTATGACATATTACCATTTATTATAAGCAATATCTTTCATCTCACTGTAGAAATGTAAGGTTGACTCCAACAATATTGATAAAGACTTAAATGTAAAAAGCAGATGTTCTTGAGACCTTTCATTAGTTGGAGTTGGTATACCGTGTCGCTACCTCCTGTGGATTTCACAAGAAATATATGAAGTGCCATGAAAAAGGTCTTTACATTTTAAAAGGAGCTCTCCAACAATGAATCAATCTACAATCCATTCAAGCCACTTGACAAAGGCGCTTCAAGCTGGGCATGTGACAGATAAATCAATACAGCTCATTTACTGAGGAACTAGAAAAGGTTTATCAGCAATCGCACATGGGAGCATTAAATGAGGTGTTACAAAGCTATAAGAGCTGACTGTTGCCTTTTTGTGTTCAGGCTGGATGCATAGAACTGTGATATTTCTGGCTTTCATGACCGGTTTTTGTCTTGTGTTTGACCAGTAAATATGTGGTCGATTCCTGCTTCTACATTCCGTGTGGCTAGGAATGACAATGTCAGTCTGTCAGTACAGCGCTTTGGTCTGAACTGGAATATCTCAATAACTGATGGACGGATTGCCATTCAATTTTGTACATGTATTCATGGTATTTAGAGAATGAATACCAGTGACTGCCGACTGACTTTAGTGATCCCTGACTTATCCTCTAGTGCTACTAATAGGTCAAATCTTTTAGTTATCCTGTGAAATATCTCAATATCTACTTGCCGGATTGGCATACAATTTTGTACAGATATTAATAGTTCCCAGTTGATGTATCTTAATGTTGCATCATCAGCTGGAGGATACATGTGAGGCAGTTACTGTATTATATTGCATCTTTTATCAGTTTCATATGTTTTCATGACATGCAGCATGTAAGGTAACTGAGATCTGTGGTATGTGACATATGTTAGCCCACTTGAGGCTTTGTGGTTTTCATGTTATTTTAATACTTGCAAGTGGTGAAATTTAATATTCTGTCCAGGGACTGCACATAAAAAATATCCAGCACTGGCCAACTGAGACTATAATTTAAAATAATACTTATTAATGTGAGCGGTTTCTAACAAATTAAACATATACATCCGTCTTGCAGACAAGAGGTCAAGGTGAGAAGGACGATAAATGTCTGACTAATTTAAACAGATTGGCATGCTATACTGTAGCTCTGCGACCACAGTACAACATGGTCTTCACAGGTGGACAAACACACTGATGGTGGTTGTGAGTAGTGTTAAAGGAGACATATTATGCCCCTTTTCAGGTTCATACTTGTATTTTGTGGCTCTCCTACAATAGGTTTAGATGTTTTAATGTTCAAAAAACACATTATTTTTCTATAGCTGAGCACCTCTTTTCAGCCTCTGTCTGAAACGCTCGGTTTTAGCTCCTGTCTCTTTAAGGCCCCCCTCCCAAAAAGCCCAGTCTGCTCTGATTGGTCGGCATTATGACACGGTTTGCGCAGATTACGCTCCGGCCCCTCCCACTTCCGCCTCAGCGTTGCCGGCAGGTAGCTCCTCACTGCTACTGAGTTTAGCTGCATTTCTACCGTCAATATTAATTCAATAACTGCTTCTAAACCAAAAACTTAACCACTGGACAGGTTAGAGCGGGAGTCTGACCTGAAATCATGGCGAAACGAACAACATCAACAATCAGGATTACAGCTTTCTGTGACGTTTTCCTCAGGTAAATACTGCTATAAAAACCTCTATCTATCACATAGTGTTAGTGTTTATACCTTAACTATGAGAACCAACACTGTGTTTTATGCTTGTCTTTACAGGTACAGCATTGAGCAGTGACCAACAGTCTACACAGCCCAGTGAAGTTAAACATATTATATGGCTGGAATACTTTATCCTGTACAACATGTCAACATAACTGAAGGAATTACTCATCTAATAAAGTAACTTGTTTTTGTGGTTTAAAAACTGCTAAGTAACCAACTGTAAACTGTACTGTATCCATATTTCATAGTCTGATATTTTAACTTGAAAGTATTATTACCAAAGTTAACCTTCAGATATGTGTAAAAGCTGCAATTATGTTTGAACCCCATTAAAAATACTGTATACTGAATATTCTATAATTTAGGTTTAAATTTCACATTTTCATATTGATAGATGTTACACGAACCAGGTTTACAACTCTTGTACATCCAGGAAATCTTCATAAAACCAATGTGAAATAACATGTTATTTAAATAAAACCGCACTTATTACTGAATTTAAAAATGACCAAAACTCTTCTTAAAAGTAAAACACTTTATTTATGTTTCATTCATATTCCAGTTACACATGTTGCAAGTAACAAAGCTATAACTTTTATGTAAAATGTGCAGATCATGTTCTCCATCAAGGGGGTTTCTAGTATACTGAAGTGTGAGCTGGTAATGGAGCTCTGCAGTCAGTGTTCATCTTGATGAGTCTTCCTTTGGATACCCAGACTGTCCTGATGCTGCAGCTGTCTCTGTCCTCTGATGGGTCCAGGAACACCTGAGCTTCATCAGGTCACCTGTAAAACAAGGCAGATTCAGTGTTACATGTAAGGCAGCATATAATATACAGTATAATATAATACAAGTACAACAGCTCATTGTGGCTCAAAGTAGTCCTAAGTTATAAACTAAAATAATAAAGCAGTGTCACTGGTGGGTGCCTTGTTGCAGCTAACTGTAGTGATGTGTTGTTGAAACAATCTGAGGTTACCAACACAATGTCTAGCTAATGGCAGCAGATACACACACAGGACATTTACTGACTGTAACTGATGTTGTAACAAGTTCTCGGTGCAATAACAGACATTTAGCAGTGAGCCTCGGTGTTGTTTATTATACAATAGGAGATGATAGTATTATAAGATGTTACACTGGACCTGCACTTAAATACCAGTACTGCAGTAACGCTAAATATATGGATCAAACTTTTATTAGTCAGTTTGACTCCACAAGGCAGACTAGTGAGCCTCGAAGTTACACAATATCACTAAACAAATGAATCCCTGCAGTTTGACTATTTCTCTCTCACAGTAGCTCTATCATTAACTCCGGTGCGCGTAGATCAAGTTCAAACACACCGTAACACACACCCACACAACAACAACGAAGCTAGCCCCAGCTGGTTACACCCCCCCCGGCACGAAGCTTGGTAATTAAACTTTGTGTAAATCTCAGAATATGGAGATATCTGCACCAGCTGGCTTAATAAATTAACCTCACCTTATAAGTTTCATGTTCATCTTGCACACATTTAACAAACATTTAACAAACATTTAACAAACATTTAACAAACAATAACTACGTTAGCATCACTGAGGCTCCTGTAGCTGACAACGGTTAGCATGTGCTAGCATTACACGAACAATGAAAAACAAAGCATAAATTCTAAAAAATACTTACAGTTGCTTCCTCTGCCGTCTCTCCACAGACAGTTGGTATGAATCCCTCTTTCAGGAACAGTCATTGCCGTCAAAAATAAAAATAAATCCAGTGGCTCATACATATGTAAATTAGTGTTGGGCTGTGCAGCCAATGACTGAACAGTTTGTCTGCTGAAGCCTTTGCCCAGACATTAGGCTGGCAGGCGGCAGGCAGCTGGCGGCAGGCGGCAGGCTGGGCTCGCTTGCTTGTTCTCTGCTAGCTTGCTCTTTTATAGTAACAATGGCGGAGCTCCGCTAGTCAACACAGGAAGTAAACTGCGGTGGGTGGCAACATGGAGCCGAAATGACGTCAAAAACTCTGAACATCTGAAATTGAGTGATTTATCTCCTGTATTCTGACTGAGGTAGCCCACAAAAACATGACTGAGTAATTTTTTTTCACACTTTGCCTGCTGATAGGCCCTCCAGATTCCCAAATGTACATAATCAAATGATTAAAAAGTTGGTTTTGCATAATATGTCCCCTTTAAACTGAACTACCACTGACACGAACATTAAAATTCAGCAGCATACAAGCAAAATTCTCAATGGAAGGGCAACATCTGTGCTGCCAAAATAAAAAAAATTAAAAATACAAAGCTTTCTCAAAATGTGTTACTGACAGTGAATGCTGCTGCAGCTGTTTGAAATTAATCATGACTGACATATTGCTGCAGACGAACATGTCCTTTAGCTAGCCGCTGTCCTTCAGAAATTAGCAGCTTATTCATTTGACTAATGGGAGAATAAATAAAGGCTTCAAGTGGCTCAACGATGAATTACAATTAGCGAAAAGTTTAAGCAATTGGGCGTTTAAACTCATTCGTAATTGCTTTCAATTAACTTGTCGAGAAGTTGCCAAGTGCTGATTTTAATATCTTCTTCAGGGTACAATATAATAACGTGTTGAAAACAACTAGAGCATGGTCTTATACATACAGAGCACAGGCACGGAGGCAGACAAACCTCAGCCTGTTGTTTACACATCACCATCGCAAAGCCACAGCATGACCAAAGCATGACTACGCAACAGTTCTCCATGGAAAGAAACTGATGGGTGAATGGGCATCGACCAAAATAAACAAGAATTTTAAGAAACCCAAATATCAGAAAAAAAATGTTGAGACATGGATTGGAGATGGAAAAATGTCTGTGATCTGAAAATGTTCCAACGTGAATGTGAAACAGATCACACAAGGTCTAAAAGATCACCGGACACCAAATAAATCTTGTAATTCATTTAATTTATGATATACTACCACTTAGCATGTATTCCCAACTGATACTTAAGGTCAGAACGTGGAAAGAATATCTAAAAGTGTCAGGATGTGACCACCAGCACTCATTTATAAATGAACTCAGATGCCAATTTCTTCTACCGGTTTTCAGTATGACACCGCAGGTGAAAAGACGACAGGTGGATGTCCTGTAGTTATAGTTATAGTCCTGTATTACTCTGGGCAATAACTCAAAATCATCCAAACAACTGCTGTCAAACTATTCTGATAAAACAACTCCAGACTTTAAGATACATTATAAAGCAAGGAAGGCATGGTCTTTCCAATAAAGGTATGTTTCATATAACAATCTTCTTTCAAATGAAAATGCATTTGTAAGAAACCAAATCAAAGCAACTCTCTGTCCAGTAACAGTGAAAATGTAACACTGATAAGTCTGATTAAAATTGGAAATAAATTACATGTTTCCAATTATTTTAATACATATTGTTTCACTGTTTGCTTGACATTTTGGGTAAAAAAAATGAAATAGTGAATCCAATAGCAAAGTTATGAACAACTACTGTATGTATATTTCTGACACACAACTTTAATTCATAAAGTGCAATGCACCAAAGACATAAGAGAGGAGAGAGAGGATGTTTGCTGCTGCTTGTGCTCTACATCTGTCACTAAGGAATGCTCCTTAACACTAACATGTCCTCCCCTGCTCTCACCATGATAACTTACACTGCTGTATCTTCCGCAGTGCTTTTAAGAAGTAGGATGGGAATTCATCCTTTACCTAATAGGGCATACTAAGACTGTGGCTGATCAGCTCTTTAAAATCTAATCTGAAATAATACTAATAAAGCTTTGTAAAATATCACCTCCCTACGGGAGCAAAGTTGAATGATGGATATAAATCAAACTGGAAAAACCTGCCACCACCTCCCACTCACAACACAGATCAGCCCTAACTGAGAGAACTTCCAACCCCACACTAATACAATAATGACAGGACCTGCAGAAACTACTCATGACCAATTGGCTCGACTTCTATAACAATATTATTCAAAATGTGTTGCAAAGTGCGACACCATTAAAATGACACAAAATAATGGCTGGCTCAGGGGCCTATGTGCTATGAATTAGTAACATGAACATAAATAATATTTCTATTGGACAAGAAAAAAAGTCTAAAGTACCAATAGTGATTCGTCCGAGTACAAGTATGTGCGAAAAATAAGTGATAATCATAAATAAAGAAAATCTTTTTTTTTCATAAAAAAAATACTTTCTCCTTTTCTTATGCTGAGTAACTCTACTCTATAAAGGTTTTCTTGATATGTTTGAAAAAATAAATTAACTGTGTTTTGCATCAACCACTTGAGTTTTAATTTCTCAACAATCATTAGATCAAAATGTAGTAACATAAAATAACATTTGAAGCAACCTGTCACTACCATGGTGCAGCACAGCAATAAACATACAGGTATATATTTTATGGTATGTCCGTTTAAAAACAAATGAGTAATGGTGTATTTCAAATGAGGTCTATAGCCCCAGAACTGCACATGCAGGTGCAACTAATCCCACCTGTGCAGGGTATTTACTAAAGTGGGCCATGCACATGAGCACACAGGCAGATAATAAATCAAAAGTGTGAATGAGCAAAAATAACAAAACAATCAAGTAATGCGCACAATAACCTTATTGTTACAATTTGCCTGTAGGCAACAACTGGCACAAGATAAGTTCTTTCCTATCCAGAAGTGTCAGTGTTATTGAAAACCTGGTTAGTAACTTTAAAAAAGACGCATTTTATAAGGACATAAAAAACACTGGGGTGATTAATGAAAAGGCAAACCAAGTCCAAATATCCCATGAGAAAAGCCTCTGATTGACCTACTAGTAGTGGTAGAGCTAGGAGAGTGCAAAGTGGTGCAAAAACAGCACATATTTAAACAATTTGTTGGCTAAGGTGAACAAGGCGATATCTATTCACAACAGGAGGTGAAAGCATTATGGTCTCATTTTAATCATCAAATACATGGGGGGGGTAAAAAGCTCCAGAAGACAAAAGAAACTGCTGAAGTAGGGCTTGAACATATTTAAACCTCATCCATTATTTTTTACTTTTGTCTGACCAACTGAAAAGAGGCTGAAAAAGGACACTGTCCTCCTAAGAAATACAACAGTAACACAACAGGTGTCCCAAAAACAATATACTTTTTACATTGAAGTGATAAATCCCTCTATAGGCCTCAATTGTATTAATGACTATTATCCTAGTGGGTCAACAAAACATTTCTATTTCCTGCCAAAAGTCAATGGTGGCTTCTTCATATAATGACAGTGGCGGTTCTTAGAGCTTGAACAAGTGGTTATTATTGTAACCATGATGACGAAAGTCCCCTAACCTTAATGAAGTAGTCATTCCAAGCCAAACCATGCTCTTCCCCTAACTCTAACCAAGTTCATGCTTAAACTGAACCAAACCTTAACCATGGTGTTGTTAAATCTTAAAACAGATTTATTTACAGGGATTTGTAGCGTAACGGTTTTGGAAGGCACAAACAAATGCTGTTGTCCTGCCAATCATGTTATTATTAGTATTTCTTTATTTTTAGGGTTAGGGTTAACATTTTAAATCAGACATACTAGGATCATTAGCTTAATTCGACAGCTGACCTTCTTCTCTTTGCCTTTAGCCTGTTGATGTTCAACTGTGCGGAAAATGACATTAAAGAGTAACACCAAATGTTCATGTCAACTGCTTGAATCCACAGTACTGTCTCTGTAATACAGCCGTCTACTTGTGTTGACAGGATACATATCCTTGTTCTGAATATTGATAGAAAACAGATGTTGATGTCTTTTCTTTGACAGGACATTATGTATTATTTCAGGGATCTGTTTTATGATGAATTATGGGATATATCAGACCATATACGGACGTGTTAGTTATTTAGCACATGTATTCAGCAATTTGTAAAAGCAGTTTATTGCCTTTCAATAACAAAGTTGCTTGTCTACATTATACCAGTAACTTTCACTCTAACTTTTTCTCTTATTACTCATACAGCACCAAAACCAGTAACCTGGAAATCAGTGCCAAGTACTGTAAATCACTTCAGGCATTTTTGATTGGCATGATTCTTAGAAGTGTTATCTGATTCTGCATCTACTGAGGTTAATTCCGGTAAACTCTGTTTCACTCAAAAGGCTATTGGGAAACTGCTTGGAATTATTCCATGCTCCTTCCTCAGTCAACTTAGCTGCTTTATCATACTGCTTTTATTTATTTATTTTATTCCAGAAATTCAATGGTTTATAATCATGCCATTCATAAAAAAATAACTTGCAGTTTCGATCAAACTAAAAAATGTTTTGTAAATAATTCCAGATGTGGTTTTAATAAATCAAAAAACTATGCCTGCTTTGGCACTTAGTCTCTGTGTTTTTGGAAAATGAAAACCACTAAAACCTTGTTTACAAATGAACAACAACTGTTTTAATGGCTTTATCTTCCAAAAATCTTTTGACATGTACTGCACTGCTGCCCTTTTTTAGGTAAGTAGGCAAGACTTGACAAGTATAGTTATAAAGTCTACTAACTGGTTCTCTGACACATATCCAGTAGCATTCATGAGGTGGATGATAATTGGGTTTGTAAGTAATAAAAAAAAACACATCTATATAGAATGTCTGAGAGTAATCATATTAAATTGTCTAATATTTTCCAACTCCCTCATGTGCAGTCATCAGTTTTCCATCAGAAAGCTTTCATTCTTTCATCCAATAATCACTTAAGGACTAATTACACTGTATCAGCATATGTGTAATTTCACTAAAAGCCTCACTATCAGCACACATTCAAAATGTTTCAAATGGAAAAGTTATTTGATCTATTTAATAGACTCCAACCTATTAAATAACTACATTACAAGAGTGGATTTGTCCCCATGTGTTTTGTGTGTGTGTGTGTGTGTGTGTGTGTGTGTGTGTGTGTGTGTGTGTGTTGACATTCATTTAGTAACATTATGACATTGGGGGTTTCCCTTGAGTTACATGTTTTTCCACCAAGAAGTTCTCCTGAAGATGCTGTTCATGTGTTGTCAATAAATCTAGACTGATTCTACTTTCCAGTGCAGAACATTTATATATTTGTATCAGAAATGTAACGGCCCAAAAGAACAAAACATAACATTTGTGCCTGCTGAACGCCTTAAGCTGTGCCACAATATATCCTTCATGGATCCACGATCACTGGAGGGATGACAATATGGCAACAAAGAATCCCCAAGAGTATTTCTTGTGTTGAAAGCTATTTGAATTGGGAGAGGGAACAGAAGTCCAACTGAGAGGATTATTCCAAGGTGCAGAATACATTTAAATTTGATGTGAAAACCAGATTTGAAAACCAAGGAAACAAGAGAGACTTAAAGCCTTGTAGCCAAGTTGAATAATCAGTCTGAAGTGATCATTTTTCTGGAACTGAGCCGTACCCCCACTGTTGGACTTTACATCACAATATAACTCAATAACTCATTTTGCATGGAAAGTCTATCGAATTAATTTTGACAAATTTCGGGGACACTTGATTCACTAGAATACAATGCGCAAAAAAGACAAGAGACGTAAGAGAGACCTACTTCCAACCTACTTCATTGGAATGAATTGAAGGCGACATTTACGGGACATAAACAATGCTGTTTGGATCAGCCAAGTGCATGAGAAGTATCGTGGCTATCATGTCTCACAGGGGGGCTGAAGAAATGTTATCCTCAGTTTCCTTACTGCGTAAACCAGAGTTTCCCTTGAATTCCAGAGCAGAGGGGGGGCAGAGTATGCAACAAAATGCTCAGTACGACTAGAATTATTTGGAGAAATAACAAAGCAACAATTATACACGCCACACATCAATTATGTGTAACTGTTGCAGCTGTAGAGTAGAAAGACTCACTCTGCCTGTGTTCTGCTTCTTTTCCAGAGAAGCATTTCCTTTACGGAGTAGGTAAGGCCGACATCGTATACACAATAAATCAAGCCAATGTAATCACTGTTTCATGTACCCTCTTGTCACCTGAGAAAAGTTATAAACAAAGAATATTAATGTGTCTACATCCTATGATGGTTAACAGATTGGATCTGGATCTCATCTTGGACTTTCAGAGTCACAAGATACTTAATCTCAGCAGGTGAAAAAACATCTTAACATTTACAACCATTTAATGTGTTTGATTGAGCAGTATAAAAACAATACAATTATGAATCTTTAGTACAAAACCCTTCACCTTTTCATAAATAAATGTTCTGTCACTCTCTATTGCCAACTGATGAAGTGATTCAGCCTGCAGTAATTCATGAAAGCTCAAAGATTTGCTGCTTTCCCCCAGGGGGTCTGTCTCACAAAGTAGGATTATGAAGTTAACTCCTGAGGAAAACTTGGAAGCTCGGCAAATCTGCAACACGGACTAAAAACCTCTTCTGGGTTATGCTCAGTGCATTTGTCCAGCCACGTCAGTACAGTAATCATGCTTTGTGACACAAGCCACAGAGAGAAAATGATCTGGACACAAGCTGATGGGTTTATGTTTTCAACAGCAGCAACTGTTTTGGAAAAATAAAACCCTATAGGAGGATAAAGAGGATTGTTAGCATGACCGCTGATAACCACAATGGCCAAACCAACAAAGAAAAGATAGCCACCATCAGCAACAAAAACAGAAAACCTAACAAAGATAAGTCATAGAATTGGCAATGATTACAAACTGATCACTGGGAGGTATACTGTTCAAATGCAACAGCAGTGACCGAATAGCACTAAAGATGTTGCCAAATTGGAACAAACAGCTCACACCTTATCAGTTTAATCAAACTCTCCTTTGGTTTTTAGTGAAGCATTTATGTTGCAATCACAAGCATTTATAATTGAAGTGCAACCTCTGGAACAAAAACCCTGCATTACCTTTCACATCTTGTTATGAGCCAAGCATATTTAACCCTTCAGCCTGTAAGACACTAGACCTTAAACACAAATAAAAGAACTCAAATATGACAATCTCCATGTAAAACAACCCAGAGGACCACTGAGAGAAGAATGTGTCTCCATTGACAGTGAGACAGATATGGTCAGAGTCAGCCGAGGCCCTGGTACTTCTCTTGTGCTGTGACATATGCTCTCTGGGTCTTTGGTGACTCCCCTGGTGCTGTTTCACAATATGATAGATGCTCCAAGGATGAGTGTTAAACTGTGCACACTGTGGAATGCCATGGCCAAAGAGGGCCTGTTTCAAAATGTAGTCTCATCTCCCACTAGACCTACAGAAGACTTGAATGTCAATGCTTGTAAATCATTGATCATTTTGAGAAATAAGCTTATTTGTTTTCTTTTTAAAAGTTGGGTAAGAAGATCGATGTCCCTTAAACATCTGTCTGTTAAATATGAAGCTTGAGCCAGCAGCTGATTAGCTTAGTATAAAGACTGGAAATAGTTAGCCTGGTTCAGTCTAAGTGTAACCAGATCGAGCTACCAGCAACTCTAAAGCTCAGAAATTGACTTGGTTATATATGGATGGTTTGTTACACAGAACCATCAGGGAACTTGTCGTTTGAAACTGGAAAAGGGTAGGTAGTTTCAAAAAATACCGGTGATAGTTGATTGGATGAACAATCTGTCTATCACCTTCTAGCATTGGCAAACTTCAACTAATATCAACAAACTATATAACAGGTATTTATACAATTATACATATATATATATATATGTATAAACCATTAGTTAAGCCAGTCAGGAGAAGAGCAAAAACATCTTTTCCATCAAGAAAAGCCTTCTTTGCTCTTCTTTCAATTAGGAAATACTATCCAGCTCTCATATAATCGATGCTAGCAACATCTACACTAACCTCTTTAGCAGCCGCCATTGTTTTTTCAAGCAAAGGGTCACTTCTCCCACACACTGTCCCACAAACGTAGCATTAAACCACGACCGCAGCTCACGCCATAGCTGTCAGTAGTTCCTCGTTCGCTGAATGATCCGGTAACATTGTTGTTGGACACAAGCACAGAGTCTGAAGCCTGACAAGATGGATTCTCACGAGATCTCGCAAGTCGCAGCTGCCTCCCAAGGCTGGGTAAAAACAGCATAGTCAAATTCATCAGATTAGATTAGATAATTCGGTAAGGATTTAAATATCCTGTTTCTTCAGTTAACCACAATCATGACCCCGATATTCAGCCCATGAAGGAACTGCTCATGTGATGTGTACCGTAAGCTTGAGTGGTTTGCAAACCTTTACACAAATAGTTCTAATGGCAGTGTTAAATTTTTTTTTAATTACAGTAACAAAATGTTCAGAGATGTACAGAGACACTGATACTGATACAGAGCGCCTAATGAATGCCATAAGCCTTCATTTTCCTTTGGCAACTGAATCTTGCCAACTTAAATCACTTGGTTCTCTTTGAACTAAACCTGACATACCAAGGCACAATTGCATTGGTCTATGACTGCATTTTCAAAAAAAAAAGGAGAAGCAGTATGCCAAAGCAATATTAATCTTATCAAATTGAGATCCGTGTGTGGAATATTTGGCATTACAATAAAACTTCTCTAGTAACCATTACAGGGCTGATGAGCAGTCATCAGCTCACACCACACAGGTGAACTGAAATGCACCCAGGACGCATTATCTTGGCTCTTAGCTAAAACAGTTTTTCTTCTTTAAATAAACATTGTGGGAAACAACTGCGGTTTCAGCCAATAACCATAAACCAACATAATTATGTTAAGAATGTGTTTGAGATTTGAAGATCAAACAGGATGTCACTGTGAGCTTGAACCATGGCCAGCAGTTTGTCAAGTGATGCAGAGATGAAAACTTACAAAGTCTACATTTGGAAGACTTCTCACGGAAGATATTCAACTATCTGGCATTTCTTTAGTTCTCAATAAGCTTTCCCAGAAAAGGACTAACAGAAATAGATTTGCTATGAATCAAGATCATCAACAAAATGTTTGAAATTAGTTCCCTGAATAATTTTCATGATTGTGTTTCCAAAGCAACAGTGCGCCCATCTCATCAGCCTGAAAGAAAAGCATTACATTCAATGTTACAATAAGCATATCTTAAATGACCACCATAGGGAGTGTGGGGGTGTTGGAGAGTAGCACATGCTCTTTGTCAAACGTTTTTGCAGTGAACTGTATATATTCTGTTTATCACATACTTTTAATGTGTAAACCATGCTCTCTTTACCAAAATGAATGAATTTGCCTTAAAAAAGGATAGCGCAGTGGATATCCAAACTGATTTTTGACTAAAAATGCCTCTTTAAAGTCAGTAAGTAAAAGTTTTTTTCATTATGCCTGTGAGGTGGCCCCTTGCAATGGAGACAGATTAGGTTCTAACAACTTAATCCGTAGCCTCTGACAGGAGTTTTGCTGCGAGGCACCGCTGTGTCCACTGTGTCTGTGAGCTGTCATAATTAAAGCCAGTGTAAGAGCAGAACAGGCCTATCTGGAGTCTTGTGGATATTTAGATTGCAATGATCCCTTAAGTTCACAAAGGATGATGAAGAGGGAAACTCCACATTGGCTCATCTGTCCCCAAAAAGCCCTTCATTTCAACACATCTGATGCATTTTTATAGAATTACGTTCATGTTTTGTAATATGTGTGATGACAAGGTGCAGCCTTGCTAGGAAGCAGAAATTTTACAAGTGATAAACATCTGACCACAGCAGATTCATTGAAAACAATAAATTAAATTGTTAAATCAAATAAATGAAATGCTATTATCAGCCTCAGATTTTCACTTACATTTATCTTTCAGTGGCTCATATGCAGGAACTGTGCCCACTGTCACACCAAGTTAAATTATTTTCCATTTCACTGCCATTTCAACCAAGCACCATTTAAACAGCATTACTGCTCTGAATAGGAAATGACAAGTTCAATTTAAAATCATGTACAGCTACATACACAAAACACAGTGCACCGCAGCTTGATCATCTCACACTATTATTATAACCCTTTTCAGTTGGATAATAAAATAATTTGAACAGCATCCAACCACATGAATCATCCTACTGTACCTGTAACACGTTGTAACTTCGCCAGTCGACTTCACGCAGGGGTACTTTGTTGTAGAAATGTTATTTTCAGAGCACTCTCCCCTGTGAAAGGAGACATTTTAAAAAGCAAAATAAACATTTATCTCTCATCTCGTTGCAAGGAGTCCTCGTGTCATTAAACGTGTCCTACAAAATTACCCGTCACTGGCATCCTCCTCTTGATAGGACCAAAGCAAACCTCCCGAGAAGCACATGCAGGTGACGGTGAGCAGAAGAGGGCTGCTGTGGTGTTTTAGTATCATCTCATCGGTCCAGTCACCTCGGGTGCTGACAGTAATCCACACTTGTAACGATTACCTCCTCACTGCTACAACTTCAGAGCGTAAAGTGGCGTAAAGTGGTGTGTGCAGACACAGCCACAGACCCTCCCACTCACCCCGTGCATCTGAGCAGCTAACGTGAATGAACTGGTGTCACTACAGACGGTAACTTTCCCTCCTCTGTACTTTTGACGGGTCACGTCAGGAAACCGAAAGAGACGGAATATTTCTAACTTTTTCATCCTTAAATGTCTCTCTTTTTTTTTTGTAGGTGCGCAGTTCACAGACACTTTTGGATAGCGGGTTTCTCTTCGGTGAAACTTTGAAAAATTGACATGAACGGAGACACTAACGCTTGTCCCATCAGTCACTCGCACGCACGCACGCACGCACGCACGCATACTAGAACGCGCTATGTGCGTCATGACGTCCACGACTTTGCTACCACCGCGCGGCTGTTACTGAAACAACAACTAATCAATAATGAATAAGAAATATAATTACATGAATGTTCATCATCAATTAGATGAAGTCTATTCATTTTTAAGTGGATGCTCATAAAACCAGCACATTAAAAATGCATCAGCAATACGAGTTCACACACATTTAAAGTAATTATTGTAGCCTACCTCTATTACAAGAGGTGAGCACAGCCTACGGTATTCATAAATTAAGAGAGAGACAGTTTCTAAAATATTAAAGGGGAACATGAACACATGGAGTAGGCTACAGTTTACTCGTCCAGAGGACTCAATCTGTGAAAACATTTGTTTAATTTACTCTGTGTGTCTGGAGGGAGCTTTCCAAAGTTTAAATAAATGAAGTGTTAAATGAAAGACTACTGAGTTGCATTATGAGAAGAGAATGATCCTATACATGTTTTTGTTTCATATGAAGAATTAAAGTAAGGATATCAGCCTCTGTTGCTTCAGCTTTTTTTTTTATTTGTCTCTCACAAGTCCAGCAAACTTAATGGACAGAAAGAATTTAAGTTTAATTTACTGATGGAATCAGATTGAAATGTAATGTGCATTTGAAATAGGCTATGAAAAACTCACATTTTTCAAAATAATTTCAAACACTGATATTTTCAGCAAGAGCATGCAGGTTTCATCTCAACTAAACAAACACAGCAGAACGTGCTTACTCGTTAGCATAATGTCAACAAGGAAAACTCATTAGTCAGTTAAAATAGTGTTGCATTTACTCACATTTACTCACCTCAGACCAGTGCCTTAAATCCTCCAGGGGGCAGCTTTTCTGTAGTTTCTGTATGAGCAAAGCAGATTGCTGTCTTTATTTACTGCATCAAAACACTGAAGATTTATGGTGTAAAATATCAGCCAAGTCATCAAAAAGAAAGCTGAGCAGCATGTTGAAAGGGAAAAGCAGAGTTTGTGAATTAATTGAGCATCGAGATAAAATATCAGCGAAAGGATTGCAGGACAAACATGGCATATTTATAGCCCGGGACCCAGTGAAAAACTGTGCTTCATTATATCATCATCAAAAACTCTAAAACTCAAACAATAACTGATTATGTTGCCACCTTATGAATAATATTCATACATTGTTGACATTTTGTTCTTATTACATTATATCAGTCATTTCAAGAGTCAAGAGAGGTGGAAGAAGTAGTGAACTCCTCTATTTAAGTAAAAGTTGCAAAAATAACAATAACACTTAAATCACTCAATTAATTATCAAGTCTTTCATTTAAAAATTTAATTAAGTACACAAGTTTTAACTACAGAATATACCTACAGGTATCATTCAATGCTCACCAGGGGTTTTTTAAATCCTAACCCACAATCAGTATCTACTAATGATTCAAAAAGTACAATATTTCCCTCTAAAAGACGAGTAGAAGTATGAAGTGGAGTACCTCAGAATTGCTGGATTCCAGTCAGCACTTTAACATGAAGGCCACCAAGCCATGAACATCAGCAGGGACTGACGTTGTAACTTTCATGCTCTGTTAACCCAAACTCACTCACTATTCAACTCATTCCTTAGCCCAAGTGATCTAAGGAAGCTGATGAGAAATTGCGTTTTTTTCTGAATGACCTTGCCCTCTATGTGACCTCTACCAGAAGGCCTGATCTGAGCACAAACATTGTTCATTGGCACCTGCAGAACCCAAGAGTTCTTTAGTTTCTCAGGAATGCAGTGTGCCATTACAGGGAGTTGGATAGCGGAGTCACTGAGGAGCCTGTAAAGGATATCCCAGTGAAACAAGAGGACTGTGGTGTCACTTACAGACACTATGGTAGCTTTTCAATCTGTGAGGTCAGTCAGGTATGATTGAACTTTATTCAGAAATATGACATTAGTCCTAATGTCTATTGAAGCGAAATGTAATACAATATTACCTATTACAATTACATTTTTTTTTCTATAGAAGACTGGGAATCATTTCTCTTACAGTATCATTTAGCAGAAAATGACACCTTGAGCCTGCTTCAAAATGCCCACTCAAGCATGACCCTTTCAGTTCAAGGGAAAGCAGTGTTTCACCAGTCTATTCGCTTCATTACAACTGAGCCTCTGTGGCTCTGCAGCCGTCTGAAGGTGCAATTCAATTTCTGGCCACTTGATGGCCCTTTCAACCAAGAGATCCCACCCCCACCCCTCTTTCGCCACTATCGTCATCATTGCCCACAAAATGGATGACAGCTTTTAGAAATACCAGGGTGCGTCACGACTCTGAGGTGCACATGCTGTGCCATTTATGTTCCACCTGTTTTGATGCCTCAGCAGCCCGAGAGGCAGAGAAGGATCATGCCTGCAACAGCACAAGTAGCCAATTAATGTTGCAGGCTGATACTGTATCAAAGCTACAGGGCTAATAACCTCACTATAATATCTGGCAACAGCCTCTGCCTTAGAGATATGAAATAATTATCTGTGACTCTTTTGCCATGTCATCATTTTCAAGAAAACATTGAACAACAAAGGAAGCATTTTTACCATTTTCTCTGGACTTCACTTTCAAATAAATGTTTTATTACACTGTCTCAGTCTCTGGGTATTAAGTAGTTAAAACTTTTTACTGGGACTCTTGTCATCCTTGCTTTAATCAGTTCTCTCTCTGTTTGTGTGTGTCCGTCTGGTTGCCAAGTTACAGACCTAATGACAAGTGTTGTTAATCTGAGCTGGTTGTTTCCTGAACTAGAAGGATTGTTTAGAGCACAGGTGGACAATTCTTTGGTAGACATTTGGTAAAGGTTTGTGTTGGAACAAACAAAAGCCAGTAAAGACTAAAACTGTCTGTGATGGGACTTGGTTGTTTCTCTTGATTAAGGAGCTGTCCTTGAGATGTCTGCAAGAGGTTGAATCAGCTTGAGTTGAACTGGAGCAGTACTGCACTGGTAATCTATGATGTAGTGGTTTATGGGTTGTATTGCACCAATCTGACTCAGTTTAGTTGTTTAGCAAGTGGAAATCTGAAAAGAAACTGTTTCTGGTACAATGATGAGCTGTGCAATGAGAATATGTGCCATGAAAAACGATTCAGAGCCCTGTAGGTTGTAACCTTTTCATGCTTAATGGATGCTTCATAATACGCGGCTGCAGCAGTGGACTAACACACAAATATAGTCTTTTATCCTCTAAACGCTCTCTCACACATGGGATGGCAATGAGAGTATCGCAGGGAATGAGTACCCCACTGTCACAACTCCTCTCTCTCTGTCTTTCTCTCTTTTCACAGTGCAGCACTGCAGTGCTTCTCTGCACATGCCCAGACAGACTGGGAGACAGCCACAGCAAGTTTGAGTTCACTAGAAATATTAACAGCCTGCATCACAGACACCATTCATGCACTCCTTGCAAGCTGTGTTTATGTTAGGAACAAAAGTCTTATTTAACACAACTAAAAATGAATTTGTCCATGATATTTTGAAAGGTTAAAATGTGTAGACAGGGACACATTTGCTGGGACAAGATTCAAACCTGTGACTTTCTCTCTACAGGGCATTCTTTTGTCTCAAGGTCACTCTGCCTCCCACAAGCTTTTTACACAAACTGTTGAGTGCAGAATGAACACAGCCAGTGCAGCTTTAATATACTGCGTCAAACTACTTGTCTTTAGTCAATAATTACAGTCATTATTTTTCCATCATTACTACATATTTAACTCTCGCCATATAGTTCCATAAGTGTTAATTATCTTTTTACCAGTTTAGATCTCAGTTTCTTTTCAAATAAACATAATAATAATAATAATATACATAATATAATTAAATTAAATTAGCTAGTTTTCTAATTTTCAAACAGTCTGGTGGTAGCTTAGTAACTCTAGCAGGTTTTTCAGTTAGATAAAACTTGGTGGTTGCATGTTTTACTCTATTCAACTTGTTTACCACGACCAGACCATTATTATTTTGCTCTTTTACAGTAGCTGAAACAATATAGACCAATGAGAAATCAAGTAGCATACAAAATGTAATTATGAGCTCACTGAAAGATACCATAAATCGGAGAATAAGCAGGACAAATGACACCAAATGGTGAAAAGGTAAAAATAAAGGAGACACATGGGTATGTTGGTAGTTCTGGAAAATTAGGGAAAAACAAGTCAGTAACACAGGGGAGATGTATTTCTTTTTTTGCACTATTTCATGATGCTTCTGTTGCACCAAACAGAACAGAGTGGAGGCCATGCGGGGGAGAAATGGTCTGCAAATCGTCTTAAGGGAAAGGTTCACATTTTTTCCAAGTCAGTCCTAAAACAACATTCAAACATATCATAAGTAGATTGAAGCAGTGTTTGGTTGCTGTTAGTGTTCTTCGTCTCCATACTGAACATGAGAAGATCCCTTCAGTGCAATTCCAAAATAACAGATGGGGAACAAAAGTCCACAGTGCTTTGGTTGTTGTGTTTTTTTTTTTTTTTTTTTTGTTATTTGAAAAATTGCATTCTTAAGCCAAAACTAATAGGCTTCCGCAGTCTGAGTAAGAGAAATCAAGAAGGTATGGACAGGAGGAAAACAACTGTTTTAATACAGTTACATATCAGCATTTTAAAATGTCAACCTGTACTTTAATTACGAATCAACCCAAAATAAAAGACGGGTACCCCAGCTTATCCTTAAAAGAAAACCTATTATAATAAATATCTTTTAGCTGTTTAAGTCCACTATTTCTCTCTTTTTGGGTGTAAATATCATGGGTAGATGATCATAGATGGTATGTCAACCCAATCAGGAAAGCAAGTGGAGCACAGCTATTATCACTTTGGCTCTTGCACTGTTGTGGCAGCAGGTTAATGTAGAGTTTTCTTCCTGTCATCTCAGTGAGAACAATTTCCTCTACCACACATCAGTGTGACTCCCTCTCTCTCTTTCTTTCTTTTCTTGCACCAGCT